AATGGGGTGTATTTCTGAAATGGGAAGCAGATGAACTTTGTAAATGTGCATTTGTTCTTATGTAGGCACAGTCATTTTAGACCAGAGACTTAGTGGAACAGATTCATAGCATGACTGGCATTGACCTAAAGAGAGCTGTGCCCTTGAGTTTCTGTCCACAAGCTGCTGAGCTGGTGCTGCTAAGGCAGAAGGGTCTCAAGTCATGACTGTGGTCTGCATGTCTCCAGTGGTGATAGCTATTTGAGCGTAGAAAGTCTTAACTGCTGGCAAATAGCCTTCCTTTTCTCACACCTGTGTAAGACACTGAGCTTTTATTTAGATAAGACCAAGATTTTCAGAAAGTATCTCGGATTTTTTTGTAGGTTTTGTGGGAAAAGTAGAAAATGACACAGTTGTATCACACGTGCTTCTGTACTGATATCACTGTGAATCTATTATGAATTAGCTGAAAAATTGATGGCTTCCAGAGTGGCTTACCCATGGGAATGCAGTTCACAGTGCTTTTTTTAAAAAAACAAACAACAAACAACTTTACCAGCTGTTGCTATTTACAGAGGAGGAACCGGAGCCTTCGTTCAGCGCTGTGCTGTTGGCCAGGCAACTGGGGAGGATGCAAACTGGGTGGTTAAATTCCTGAAACCCATTTCTGGGCGGACCCCATCCTCAGTGTTTTGCAAACACCATGGGCTGCATCTATGAGAATTTGCCTAAATAAGAGGAAACAGTCACAAACTTTGGTGGATCACAAACTGTATGGGTTGTTCATGCCTTTTCTTTGTGCATGTCCTGTGCTCTTCCCCCTCAGTCTCTGTCCTTGTCACAACAGAGACTCTCTTCATGGAGAAGATGCTTTGCATAGAAGCACAGAATGGTTTGGGTTGGAAGGGACCTTAAAGCTCATCCAGTTCCAACCCCCCTGCCAGCAGCAGGGACACCTTCCACTAGACCAGGTTGCTCAAAGCCTCATCCAAACCTGGCCTTCAACACTTCCAGGGAGGGGAAGTGGTTTTATTTTGCTCAAACACAGAGGTGCAGGGAAGGTGATCTCTGCCCTGATCCACTGTTTGCCCCTGTTTGAAGGCAGGGCTGATAGCACATGCTGCCTGAAGTGTCACTGTTGGCTCTTTATGACTATGGTGAGATTTGTTGTGAATAACAAAGATAAGTAGAAATTAAACTTGAATAATACTGAAATGGCTCTGGACTGAAGATTCTTTAAAATGTGGTACTTCTCGAGGC